CTCTCTCTCTCTCTCTCTCTCTCTCTCTCTCTCTCTCTTTCTCTCTCTCCTTCATCTCCCTTTTGCCCATTAATAACTTAGCTGGGATTGTCTCTTATTTACGGAGTTCGGTGTCTTTCCTTCCTACCACTTCCACAATTCCTCAAAACATCACAGACACTCAAGAGACATTGTTCCCATTTTACTAAGTAAGAATAGCATCCAAAGTTCTTGAATCTCAGCAACAAGAGAGCTTATTGGCCCCCAAACCACCAGTTCTTCTGGTGCTTCTGGTGCTGACATCCATCGTGAGCTGACACTCTTTGGAGCATTGCATATCCAGAAATGTCTAAATAAACCTGGGAGTGTTTTGCCTCCATCTCCCCCTGACAGATTTGCTTCCCTCCATTTCTAGTGGATCCCCTCACTCTCTGGGGGTCCACTTATGAGAGCTGTGGATCCTCTAATTAGTTACTTCTCCCGATCCCAACCTTGTCGGAAATGATCCTGACACAGAGCTTCATCTGCATCATCACCGTGTTTCATTTATCTCAGCCACAACTTGCTTGGTAGCCAGCAGATGGCTCCCAGGTTCATTTCTATTCAACCTTCAGTCATTCCCACTTCCAACACCCCACACAGTGCTGTCTTCGTGCCCTAGAGCAGCACATGTGCTCCAAGATACATGGGACCACTGTCTCCCACCACAGATGAATCGGAAACAGACCATACCTAGGTCTCTGTGATGGGAAAGAGCTTCTAAGTCATGAAGGGAAAAATCAAGCCGCAGTTGAAAATTCAAGGAGAAATTCTTGTTGGCAGAGCTCTCAAGCAGAGACGATGCAACTGTGTCAGTCTGCGTAGAGCTTAGCAAGGACCAGTTTCTTGTCTCCTTATTACTAAGATGACCACCTATTCAGCATCCATACTGAAACGTGCAGGAAAAAGAGCTGTCAACGGGTCATGCCGAGCCCACGGTTTGTTGATAGTCTTTGCATAGTGGGTTCTGACAGAGGAAGTTAACTATAACCCTGAGCTATGCTTGCTTGTGTGGTTAAAGCACAGGCTTCACAGCACAGAGCCTGGTCCCTAGTGGACATGAGAGCTCCCAAGGAGACACTATCAATCGCTACAGAACCTGGGTGTTTAAGATGTATGTATAATGAAGGTATAAGTGACCAACTTGTCTTACCTCTCCTCTCTCTCTCTCTCTCTCTCTCTCTCTCTCTCTCTCTCTCTCTCCTCTTTTCTCTCTTCTTCTGTCTGCTCACTCTCTCCTTATGTCTTCCACCTTCTACTCTGTCCTTTCTCCTGACTCTAATTTTCCCACTCTCTCTCTCTCTCCACTATCCATCCCACCCAATAGCTCTCCTGTTATTTCTGGCAGCTCGAAAGAACTTGGATTGGTGACAAAAAGGACCTGTACCTGAAGGAACCAACATACTTCAGAAAACTCCCAGGTACCACACTATGAAAGTGGTGGGGGCCGGGGGGAGGGGGCGACAAACCGAGCCTCATGTCACAGGGCTATATTTAGCATATGACTTCCATATTAAAATAATGGCTTCTGGAAATAGTTATTTCAGATGGGTGGTAGAGGAAGGACGACCACAATGATAGCCTCTGAAAGGTAGAGAAGAATGAGTCATAGATAAATAATGCTTGAAAATCTAATGGAACAGAGAAAACCTGCAGTAACTTCTGATTAGTGGCTAAGCACAGCTATGAATTATTCATTCTGAACTATTACTGTGGAGGCTCTGGTTAAGAGTTTGTCGAAGGAAGGATGAAAAGAAAGGAGAGCAGGAGGGAGACTGATAAGGCTGTGGAAAGAATTCATTACACTATGACTTATCACCACAAGGAGGGTAAGTAATAGTGAGGAGTTTCCCTGATCAGAAAGAGAAAATTGCACATAGTCAAGAATCCCTGTGACAGGAAAAAAAAAAAATCTCCTGAGAGGAAAAAAAAAAACACAAAATTTTCCCTGTACTCAGGAATCATTTGCCTCACAGTCCCACATGATATGCTCAGTCATTCCCATACTCAACAATATTGCAGAAAGGGTATTGTACACAGGCAAGTCTAAGGCAGGTCAGGGATCCTCACTGGACAGCCTCCAGGTGCCGGGTGGGATGCAGGCATGAGGGAGATGGTGTGTCTTGGATCAGTGAACTCCAGCATAGGAAGGGCTCAGAACCAAGACTGTCAAGGCAGTGAGGCCCCACGGTGTAGCCTCCACAGGCCTGGCCCTGTGCAAGGTCCTAAAGATACACCTGCAGCCATGAAAGAGGCGTGATGCTGATATCAGTGAGCTCGATGATAGAAAGATCTCAGAATCATGAAGCTGCCACAGTACTAGGCTCACTGGTGAGACCTGACCTGCCCAAAGAGTGAGGTGAGAAGACTCACAGAGACCAGAAGTTACCTCCGGCAGACCTCCTTGACATAGGGGGAACTCCTGGTAAAGTCTCTACAGTGTAGCATGCTTCTCTTTTTGCCTCGAGTCCTAGCTCAGTGTACAAATCTTCCCTCTCTCTGAGGTAGGTATTGCAGTTATTTATTCCTCTGAAACTGTGCTACAGAATACGGCCCTAGAGCCCAGTTGTGGCAGTTCTAAGTATTGTTTTCCTGTTAAGTCATTCAAATTACTGTTGAAAGAAAGCAACTTATGAAAAATGATGAGATTGTAATATTAGAAAACACACCCAGGAATCCAACATTCCCATGAGTACCGGGATGGGCTGATCCAGCATTAACCAAGAGAGATGGCGTTTCAGTGTGAGTCACACCCTGACCACCGCGACTTCCAATATCATGTGGCAACAGAACTACAGTGACTGACTACTTACGTCAATGGGTGCAGAACATTCTCTGTAGGACAGAATCCTCCCAAGCAGAAGGCCTCTGCTCCTCTTCAATTATTTCAGCTTTAAAAGAAGTCAAGCAACAAGCCTCAGAATTTTCTAGAACATCGAATGTCAGGCCACTTGTAGATTTCCCTTCATGGAAAGGGGGAAAGGAAAAGCAATATTTTATTACAAAGTTTTGTTTCATTCACATTTTGTCCCTTCTTAGCATCCCCATTCACAGTACACAACAAAGCTTCCAAGCATCTGAGGTTCTCTGATGGGACTGGACACAATCCAGAGAACCTCAAGGGAGTTTCATTTCTATCTCCTGATATTGAGTGATTTAGAAATTAAAACAGAACATTTTAAATTTATTATATATTCCTTGGTGACAATTGTGTTAACATAAATATTAATTGCTGTGAAAAATAAATTTTTCCCAGAAAATTTTGTGAGAAGAACAGCATCATTTTACATTTTTTGAGATCTCAAACATCTGGCTTCACCAAAAACAGCTGGATTATCATATCTGCTTCTGGATTCAATTTGTTGCAGTATCACATGTCAGTTAACCTCTGGAAAGCTCCTCCATGTACTCACAAGAGAATGAAAGGAAGAGAAATCAAAAGACATCTTGGCACTATCATGAAAATAACTATCACGTGGATCTTCCAACTGAGCCTCAAGGACTTGAGGGGATCCCATACAGCATCCCATGTGAGAAAAAAAACTCACATGTACATCAGACTATCACCCTCTACCTTAGATGCAACTGGTTATCTGTTCTGATAATCAGTTGTCTAGGAATACTCCACATGTATGTGGATTTCATATATATACATATATATGTTTGCTATGAATGTATAGACTTAAGTTTATCAGGTCAAGTGGCTGCAAACTATTCATTTCACTTGGTTCCTCTGTTTTACAAGTTGGGGCAAGTTCTAAATCAGCCTCCTTTGTAGTTGCCTCTCTTTCCACTGATCCCTTGTGAATCACTGAATGAGTATGTGTGCATGTATGCATGTGAGTGTGTGTGTGTGTGTGTGTGTGTGTGTGTGTGTGTGTGTGTATGAACCCTATCTGGTGCCTATGGTTTGGGTGGGTTACAAAATGACTACATAAGTGTCATTTCCTGGTAGGCACACAGTGGCCACACCAAGTAAGAACAAATGCCATGAGGCTAAAGACAGTTTTCCTGCATCTTCTGGTTTCCTAACAAAGCACACAGCTGAAATCTTCCAACTCTGAGGAACAGCTGAACTTTGCCTTAGATCCCTGTCACTCCACAGCAGGACTTATTACTAGGGAAGAATGTCTTAGAATCTGGGGCTAAGTGAACAGAGCTGTTTAGAGACAGCAGCCTCTCTTGAGACTTACTCTCCTATCAGCATTATGTTGACATGAGGGGAGAGCAAGGTTCTACTTCTGAAAGCTCTTTCCCTATAGTACTGAGATGGCAAACAGGTAATCCTGTTGGCTCACAACTTCCCTGAATCGAAGCCAAGGAAGAACCCAACTCCTACAGTTAACTGGTTATTCATTGAATCCCTCAGAGGTTAAACTCTGCTCACATCCACAGAGGCAGATATGGAGATACAGCACCATTCCGTCTTGGTTCTATTGCTGCAATCAAACACCATGACCAAAAAGCAAGTTGGGGGGAAAGGGTTTGCCTGGCTTAAACTTCCAGATCATAGTCCATCATTGGAGGAAATCAGAACAGGAACTCAAGCAGGGCTATACCTGGAGGCAGGAGCTGATGCAGAGGCCATGGAGGGTCTGCTTACTGGCTTGCTTCCTATGACTTGCTCAGTCTGTTTTCTTATAGAACCCAGGACTATCAGCCCAGGGATGGCACCACCCACTCAACAGCTGGACCCTCCCCCATTGACTACTAATTGAAAAAATGCCTTATAGCTGGATCTCCTGGAGGCATTTTCTTAACTGAGGCTCCTTCCTCTCTGATGACTAGCTTGTGTCAAGTTGACACAAAAACCAGGCAGTACAGGCTCCACGAAGTAATCCTGTGACTTCAACACATGTAGCATACCAAAAAGGCATGGCACATGAGCATACCTACACACACACACACACACACACACACACACACACACACACACACATGCATGCGCACGCACGCACGCACACACAAATAATAATAATAATAATAATAATAATAATAATAACAAATAATTGATAATTAAACCACTATAAAACTAGCAACGGGGGTTAGGGGAGAGAAGTCTGAGCTCCTTGCCTGCATGAGATTAGAAACACATCCAACACATCCTTATTTGTTTTTTTTCTTTTGAAAACCAACAGAAGGCTTTGTTCATAAAGAAAGACTGAACATAAAGAATTCTGTTTCCTAAGGAGAGAAAAAGATAGATATTGCCTGTAGAAAGGCAGAAAATTGAGCTCAGCATTCAAGGGAGTATGGTGCTATCCTTGCATGGATTGATCAGCCACCTGAGGCAGGAACAGACATTTGAAGTAGGTGAGAAGACCTACGAAGGAAACATCCAAAGGCACTCTTGCCCTGGGTAAGCAGGGGGAGAATACCCATGGGTCCTCTGACCCATTGCAACGTCCTTATTTTTGCAGATGACCCCAAACCCAGAAGGGTAATTTATCCAACCTCTCAGAACAGCTAAGAGAGTGAGTGACTGGGAATCGGAATGGCCTTAGCATCTGGGATACTGTGAGAGAGGCCTGAGAACGAGCTGCAGACTCCCTTTGTCTGTGCCGTAACAGTCAGCAGTGTCGGGCCTTGTCATGTCATCAGCTCAGGGGCTCAAACCACATCTTATTCGTCATCTTGTCACTGTCCCCACTACCTCTCCTTCCTGTCTCCACCACCAGTTATTACAGAGCAGAAAAATCACAGATCACTTCCCTCTTCTCCACATACATATGATCTGAGACTTCTGGGCTTGGGAGGACCTTAATAATTCATCTAATGTTAGAGAAAAAATACCTATGGAAACTGGGATGGAGAGGCTGAGAGTGACTTGCCCCAGACTGTCAGTTAGTAGATTCCAGACCCCAGTCCCAGCCTCTGGTTTCTTTCCTTTACACTACAAAGTCCTAGTGTATGAGGCTGTCTTAGTTAGGGTTTCTACTGCTGTGAAGAGACATCATGACCACAGCAACTTTTCATGAGTAGGAAAACATTTCATTGAGTAGCTTACAGTTGTAGAGGTTTAGTGCATTATCATCATGGTGCGATACGGTGGTGTGTAGGCAGACATGATGCTGGAGATGGAGCTGAGAGTCCTACATCTTGACTTGCAGGCAACAGGAAGTGGTCCGTCTCACTGGGTACAGCTTGAGCAAAGGAGATCTCAAAGCCTGCCCCCACAGTAACACACATCTTCCTACAAAGTCACACCTACTCCAACAAAGCCATACCTCCTAATAGTGCCAAACCTTTGAGGGACTATTTTCTTTTAAACCACCACAGAGGCTTATTTCTAAGACATACTCTCCAGTGACTAATTTATCCAAACATATGATATGCATTCCTCTCCCCTCAAGGTGTTCCTTCCCAAAAGAACTCATGGTTCGTTAAGCTTGTGAAGTGCTACAATCTACCCTCTCTATGATAAGTAACCCTCTGTAGGGGAGGGGTATAGGTATACTGTAAGTGTTTCTGCATATGTACATGTTCATGTCCATGTGCATGGAGGTGCATGTAGAGGTCAGAGGTCAGTATCAGTTGCCCTCCTTAATCACTCCCACCCTATTTTTAGAGATAGAGTCATTGAATCTGGAACTCACTGATTTGGCTAGACTAGCTGACCAGCAAGCTCCAAGGATCCTGTCTCTACCTCCCTGGTGCTGGGCTTATAGGCATCTGCCACCATGACTGGCTTTTGACGTGGGTGTTGAGTATCCAAACTCAGGTTCTCACGCTTGCACACCAGCACTTTCCCAGCTGAGCCATGCCCCCAACCCCGTGCAACACTCTTGTTCCCACAGGAAAAGAAAGAAACCTGTCTAATTCTCTACAGTCGTTTCCAAAGTCACTTGACCCCAGGACTCTCAGCCTTTACCCCACTGCTTTGTTATCTACTAACATGTCTCAATTTTCCAAAGGTTGTGCTTTGGAAAACATAATCTAAGTCTCATTAGTAAGAATGCCTTTTTATATCCCAAGGAAAATATCCCTATGGAGTGGTCCTCTTGGCGGGGACCTAGTAGGGAAGCCATGAGACACAAAGGAAGAGAAACAATAGTCACCATCTGTTCCAGAGCCATGTGTACTGTCAGCAGCAAAGGATGAGGTGGCCACACACACTGTCATCTGGAACTCTGGTCCTAGGCTAAAGACACTCCACTCCAACCACAGGTTCCCATCTACTCAACATCAGCTAACGTGATTTTCCTTCTACTTCTGTTCTCTGTTAGTAGAGACACTGTTATAGCAGGCCCTTCCATGTCTGCTGTAGCTTTTTGCCATCCTGACCTAAAAACTCTGGACCTCTAAAAAAAGCTTTCTAATGAATGTCCCCACCTGACTCCTTCTCCCCTTCAATTCCCCTTAGAAGATGCTGTCCTATTAATCTAAGACAACGTTGCATTTGCTTTCAGAGAAATGAAATGTTCAAAACTCTGCAACAAGCAAGGTCTTTTGATGACGTCCTAAGTCATACCTGTGCAAGACAGCACAATCCATGCTCCCCCAGCAAATTCCCATCACCCTGGCTCATCTGCCGATACCACCCTCCTCACTCACGCAGGGCGGCTGTTGAGCTCTGCATTCTGCTCTGTTTCTGCCTCTCAGATTTCTTCTGGTTCTTACCTTCCACCTCCACCACAAGTCCTGACGTGGAGCAAGCACCCCACCCACTCCTGCTCTCGCAGATACTGAGTCCTACTTGGCACATCTTGCTCTTTGACTGATGCTTGCATTTCCCAACTCATAGTAAGCTTGGGAAGGCAAAACGTCAGGCATTGTTAAGTGTACTTAGAAAGTAACCAGAAATTTCTCTTGATGGATAAAAGAGTTCATATTCATTTCATGACTATGAGTTAAGCAGAAAAGTTGAAGCCTACAAAACCTCAAGTCAAAAACTAGGAAAACTAACCTCTTTGGAGGACTCAGAGGCATTTAGAATAGATCTTTCTAGTTAAATTGACCTTAG